GTACGTAGAGCGAAATAGATTACCGTGAAACATTCCGTGCGGCAACTCACTAAAGCAAGGGTTAATCGGAGGGTCACCACCGGTGCAAACTAAATGTATGTCGATGCGGCTATTTAGGCAAGGTTAGGCCAACCCTCGTCCCTTCGTATCAATAGCAGTTCTGCGTCAACACAGTGTTTAGTCGTTAATTTGCATAGCTCCTGAGGTACCAGTACATTTCGCCTGGCAATTGGTTACACCTGACTCGCGTTAAGTAATTCCTGCAGCGGATATCGAGGCGCTCTACGGTTTAATAATGAAGGGGCGTGATGTGCGCGAAACAAGTGCAGTAGCCAGGCGATGAGTTCGAATTTTAATTGACGTTCGTCGATGTTTACGCCGGGAGAAATAATACGGTCATTTGTAGAATTCATTTTCTCTTGTCTGCGTAAAGTTTGCGATTTTCTTTAGTTATCCTATGGACGCGTCAAGGGCGATAGACGAATGAAAAGTACGAGAGGTAAGTGAACTTTTACGTAGGTATAGTACGTGTACGTACTATAGAAGTACGTAGGATTTATTATTTTTTTTTTTTTTATTAATTCGAAATCCGTTTCTGGTTCAGATAAACAAGCAAGGCTGCGAAGCGTCTCGCGCAGAGCAAACGACGCCAGAATTGACAACAAGAATTGAAATTTAACCTCCAATTATACAAGAATACATCGCTTCGAAACCTATATCCCAAAGTATTTATTTGATATTAAAGAAAAATTCTGGAACTTCACGCGTGTGCCACGCATCTCGACGGCAACCTCCCCTTAATGAAAATCTAACATGGCGTGAAACAGTTTTCCTTTCTACGTTAAATTAATTTATCAATTATCGTATGGTTTCGTAGATATCTATAACGCGAATACGCGTAATTTATTTTATATCGATCCACTGCTTTCACACACGAAGATATTTAGAAAGCAGCGAGCTTGCCGATACTTTCTTCGCCCACTGTACAGGCATTCAGGGGACAGTCGAGACCAGAGACTCTTCCCAAGATTAATTTCCTCCGTAGCACTAAAGAGCACCCTCTCTATTCCCTCCCGCACCCCCCCTCCCTAGTGACCTACAGAATTTTCGCCCGACATTACTCGCAACAAATAAAGCAACGCTGCATAATGCAATACCAACGAACAACCAAGGCACCCCCCGCCCCATCGGTCCGCCTCACGCGAATCCCACCGGCGAGTATAATCCGACGACGAAGCACGGGACAGGGGAGTCCTTCTTAATTTCCATAAAAATCGCGCATTCGCATAAGAGAGCGATTTTAATTATCCGCAGTTAACATCTGAGCACGGGCTCGCGTACCCGAGGGGAAACAAACTCCCCCCTTTCGGCCCGTTCTCGCGTCGATTTTTCATCGAGCCACCGGAATCACCTACCGGCCAGACGGTACCCGCGAATTTCCGCGTGAAAAATTTAATTAGCGACCGTTCCCCCTCCATCTCCGTCCCCTCGTCGCCACCCCAAAAGACACCGTTGGACCGCGCTGGCGTCAGACATCTGCTAACAACGCAACAAAACGACGGTTTATAATCTACGAGCAACCCTCCCGGCCGCGGGGTAGTCGAGTGAATCATCCAGTACCCTCCTCCTCCCCCGCGCCGCTGCATTTTCTCCCACCCCTGTTGCGCCGCCACTGCGGCATAAATCCCGACCGTGGAGAATATTACGTTCTAGCGGCAACGGAAGAACTTCAACCCCACTCCAGGTCAACCCGCAGACTGCGCTCAGCCGCCCCTTCGCGCGTTTTCAAACTATTTCCCAGAGACCTCGCAGAACGTAATCCGTTTTTTCTCCCTCTTTCTCTCTCTTTTTCTGCGTTATTCTTGTTCTCTTTTCCGTTTCTTTGGTTCGCGTCCTTGTTTTTTTTTTTTTTTTTTTTTTTGTTAGTTTCACGGTCGACGACCCGCGAACGACGCCAGCCTATTATCGCGTCCACAGGAATCGCGTTTACGTTGCCTCCCTCGCGGTCTCTGCCCTTTTGCGCGAAGGGGAAACGACGAAGAGGAGATGAAAGTGTACTTCGGATGAGGAGAGCTTATGGGAAGAGATACCGCGTTCTTGGGCTTCCTTTTTTTTTTTTTTGGCTTTTGTGGCCTCCGCGAGGGGTTGGAGCGAAGAGGTGTAAGAGGGGACATTTGGCGACAGAGGGTACGCGACGGTTTAGGGCGGAGCGGAAACAAACTTCGAAGTCGGGGAGGTTTCGGTCAGCGAAAATCAGGAAGAGATTCGAGGTTTTGGACATTCGGAAACTCCATCTGTCGGGATAGTGACGACGAGAGAATAACGATGAATAATAATTAACTGTGATTTTATTTGGGAAGGGATGAAAGAGTTGCTTGATATAACTCGACACTATCAACCGTTAGTATATTGATATCCTTTTTTTTTTTTTATAGGAAAACCGATACTTTGTTGTCTATTATTGACATAACATTTGATGCTACCAACATTATATGAACTGTAAAATATTACGTAAATTATTACACGAAAAACTATTCGAATGGATAACATTGAGATCGAATAACACTAATGTTGTCAAAAGAAAAATCATTATTGCATTCATTCGCGTCATACAAGTTACTACAATTGTAACAAGTAATCGTATTGTACAGATAGTACCGCGTGTTCGTGATTTTTCATTAAATAAGAAAAATAAAAGAATAAAAATTGTTGTCGAAACGAAAAATATAACTGAATTTAATTCTATGCCTAATCGCTACCGGTCGGTAAAGCGTCACTTTTAACCGTAGTTAATTTTGTTTTGGACAAATGGGAGCCTGCGACATGATTGATAATCGAATTTTAATCGTGGAAAGATGTTGCAAAGAAGAATCTCAAGATAAAGAATTTTCTAATTAATATTTGATGACGATAAAGCAATATCATAATTATTATTATATGTTACACTACATAATATATACGATATTCTACGATAAAAAAAGAAAGTAACGCTATTTCAAATTTTCGTGTATTCTCATAAACGAGTAACTCGATTAAATTTGTGCGCAATAAAATTGCAAAGAACATAGACACACGAAGAAAGTGAAGCAATAATCTCGACGACGTTTTTAAAAATCATGCCGACAGATGGTGAATTTTCTTTTGACGGACGCTAAATAAATTACGGGTGAAATTAACGCGCGAAATATAAAGTTCCACGGCATTGTGCGATTTTGTACAATGCGCCGTCATTGACGACGCACCTGAACATAAAGGGATAAATTACGAGTGGTCGGGATTCCCGCGTTGCTGTCGAATTTCGAGCAAATTCCATTTCGCGCGGACCTGGCCACCTTTGTACTTCAAATTGTTCCATATGCTCCGCACTATCGTGTCCCTGTATCGCGTGACTCAATCATAAATAAAGTTCTTCCTATCGCTTAACAGACGAGACGCTAATAACCCGTTCATTTCCATCCGTTTGAGAAACAAATTGACTTTCAAATGACATAATTAAAAATAAAATTGTAACGTGGATGAGAAAAAGATATGTAAGGGCGTGTAACGCGATGTTAACATAGAACATTTAATTCACTTTATTCGATGATAAGTTTCAAGTAACCCAACACTTCAGAGCAACTATGTTAACCCGCGCGTTTTTTTTTTAAGCAGATCTTTTAAAAATTGCCAAAGGTGTTAATAAAATTAATTCACTCGACGAAATGAAAAACTGCTGTTCGTTATTCCTCCTACCAGTTTGATTAACGATTTGCCAGGCTAGGAAAATAAATATGCGTCTCACACAATGCCGATGGAAACTGAAGGAACTGCGATAAATCGGGGAGTTAGCTATAATCTTTATCGAGAAGGATTTGCAGTCTACGGAGAAGATCGATTAATCACGCTAACAAGACCAGATTTATCTTCCACCGCACTATATTTCATGGTTACTAATTGTCAGATTAAAACGAATACAGGCAGTCACCGCATTAATCTATCTGACGCTGCTGTTTCGTATTTTTGTTATGTTAATCGCGAGTCTGGTTTCGCCCTTAAATCTAGGTGAAATTCGTAACTTGCTTTAGTGACGCTGCTTGGCATTACATATTGCTGAAGAAACTTTAGTTTTTGTGTAAAGTGCTAACGCAATCTTGACCGAGTAACTTTGTTTTGTATATCGTATGCATATTTAATTCGTAAACGATTGTAATTATTTTAAGCGTCGAAGACAAATATTTTAATATAAAATATCGAATACTCGACTAGAGGAAATATTGCGTACTCGTTTCTATTACAATGAAAGCGACCGTAAACATTACTGGACATTTCGTCCATGGTAAAAAGGCGCACAGATAAAATGCAGCAAAAAAAGATCGAGTACTCTACTCGAGGCTTGTTTACTTGGCGATCAAGTGCCATTTACTCGGGAATGAAGTACTACTTACGTCTTGTTTGTCAGTCTAACATCTTGTGTTCATGATGGAATGTTCACAAACTTTGTCACATTCGTAGAAATTGATCAGCATTTAGACTGATCTATCCACGTCGAATATATTTGTGATTTCATTCGATCGACATTACGAATTGTACGAGCCGAACGATTACCTTAAACGAAAGGTTCTCAAAAGTGATTGTAGTTGATCTTTGATTTTCGATAAAACGCAAATGGTATCGAAGCTTCGTTTGAAAAATATCCTGAATAAATGCGATACATTGCGTGCAACAAAGACACGAAATAGAACGAGGGAATAATGAGAATTCGATAGAGTAATAACAAGAGCGAAAATAGATTGCCCGGTGAGATAATTAACGAAATAACGAAAGATGTGACGTAACACGGTGATCGATGAACGGTTAGTCGAGGAAGTAAATTGGATACCGATCGAGGGGGCACAAGAATTACTCCGGGTCGTCAGAAATGCATTAACGGGAACTACAATCTACCGATTGATACTAGCGTTAGTCTACCTACGTCGACCACATTACCGTGGACGTTTAGTTTAGTAATTAGCGTGACTCACTGTATTCCCACGCCCAGTAATCACCAGCACCCGCCGTAGGCAGCACCGTGCTCCATGCTTCTATGTGTAAACAGAAAAAAGGAGAGGAAGAAAGTAAAGAACTGAACCATGCTCGACTCGTGTAGACGATCAAAATTATCGGAGCTTCCACCTGGACAGAAATTATTGAAACTCCGATGATAACAATTGGAACTACGACAGTAAATAGAACAACGAGTGGTGTGAGCTGAATTGAATAAAATATGAATAAAATAGAGTGTTCCTAGTAATTTGTATGTTTGAACAATCGAATTTAAAAAAAAAAAATCCTTATAGAGAACCTTACAGAGAACGACAAAACGAAACTTTCTTATATTTACAGTTCATTCGTACGACGTTTAGTTTCAGAAATAAAAATTACAGCCTTCGAAGAGCTTTTTCCTGAAATTCAATTCATCCAACGAACTTCTAACTTTTCAATTTCTATTTTCGAAACTAACCATCCTGCGAATAAACTGTAACTACAAAAAAAGTTTCGTCTCCTCATCCCGCATAAATTGATATTTTTTTAAAATGTATCTAATCAATACAAAAATTTCTCCGATCCCATTTCTCGAGGGCATATACACGTATTTCCCTGCGAAAGAATTAAAAGAGTCTCTTGTATTTAAAAAACTTAGCATCTTCATCAGTCTTACCATTGCCATAGTTTAATTTCCTACCTCTCAACTACTTAACTATCAATCAGATTAATCCACATCTCCAGGAAATCCCAATAGTGCGTCGCGAAAACGCTCTCAATTTTTTATAAAGTTCACCCATTTTTAATGAAAATACCCATTTTTAATGAAATTACTGTCGTAAGTACGCACTTTCAATGAGTCTACCGCACCCGTCTATCGAGCGTACGGTGTCGTTAGAAAAACTTCCCGAACATCGGTCTTTTTGTCGGCTCGAAAGGATCGAATTCAATTTGAAACGTACAACCGCGTCGCGCGTAAGGACAGTTCCGCGTGGAATTATTGCGACGTGCGCGTCAGGGGGGCTTCTGTGTTCGCGCAAGTTGCTCCCCGTCGGTGAATAATCGCTTTTTGAAAGTCTCCTCGTCTGGGGTAGCGGTAGAAAAAAAAGAAAAAAAAAAAAAAGGGCGAGTTATCGCCAGGGGGTACCACGCGAAAACAATAATCTCGTCTGTCGCTCGAACGACGTCAGCCACGACCCAGAGTCGACGGTAAAACCGAGCACCGTGCATTCCGCGCGGACGTTTTACGGTACATCCCTCCCGGGAGACAACTTTAATTGTCCATATCTTTCCCTCGTGAAATACGGTTACCGTCAGCCGTCCTGGGGCCCTGTTTAACGCTCTTGTTGTCGCTTCTTTCGCGATCACGTGGCAAGCTTTATGCCACTCCATTAGATAACGAACTCCGCTTCGGCTCCGGGTTCGAATTCAGTATAACCGTTGCTTGAACTTCGGTTATAGACAGGCTTCTACTTGTGTTCTATGAGAACGTAATCTAATTTTCTATCGACAGCGATTTCCTGTAACTATTCGATATTTTATACTTGCCTTGTGTTTTTGATGAGAATGTATCTTTATTCGAGCTTTCGTATATCAATTTGAGGAGATCGAATTTAATTTGAAATGTACGTATGTTTAATTCGAGTTGGAACGAATTTAATTTGAAGTATGGTACTCAATTTTGATTGGAATCGGATTCATTCGAAACGTATTTGTATTTCATGACAAAATGAACAAAATGAATTTCATTCGAGTTTAATTTATGTCTAGTTCGGATCAACATGGATTCCTTTGAAGATACATCTCGCGTTAAATTTCAAACAGAGCAACTATCCTGTGAAATATTTTTACCTGGAGATACACAAAGCACAGAATAAAAAAAAAAAAAAAAAAAAAAAAAATAATAAACTGAATAGAAATATAGAAATTCTACCGATTAAACAATTACACGTTGCACAAATCAAACGTATTAAAACGGAATTATATCCTACGTCACACGAATCAATATTTTCGCAATTGAATTATCGAAATTTGAAAATAACGAATTTAGCGAGATACGATGCATTAATAAAACAATCGAAAGCTCCGCCGCGTGCAATTTCAATATGAAAATTCACTTCACCGCGCTGAACGTGTCGAAATAAACGGAACGAATGTAGAAATCAGGAAAAGGTTATTTCCCAGTGTAAACTGTAAACGATCGTTCCTGCGCATAAAACACTCGGGGCGAACAATTCAGTTTCCGATACGCAATCGAAACTACATTCCCCGGGCATCCGCGAGAGACAACTTATCGCGTTTTCGTGCCTCGTAAAAACCATAATCCGTTCCCTCGTTCATACACAATCCTCTCCCTTCGAATCGCTGATATACCACCCTCCACTGATTTCACGAAAGCGTTGCCGCGCCCCTCGAGGGACGAAATTCTACGGAAATGTTTTCCCTTTCGATCGTTGGCGGAGCGTTAACCGCCCTGTAATATGCGGGGGATTGAAACGCGCGTTGTGTTTGAAATTCACCGAGGGCGTAGACGACCATCAGGGGTTAATAAACCTACCCCTCGGTCGACCGATATTTTAAATACGAATTCGTATTCGAATTGCGCTGAATTATGAGCTTTTAAACGTTCGAAGAGAGAAAGAAATATAAAAGAATTCTAGGCAATTCGGCGAGTTACTTATTTCACCGAGTAATCTTTCACAAATATTTGATTAATAGATCTGTTCGTTGAACTCGGCGCGCACCGTATCGAGAAGCGGAATTACAGGAAACAGCACAGAGTTGAATTTCAAACGATGGCATGTTAACCTGTCGGTAAAATCCGCCAACGAAACGTGTCTATTTGCCTAAATTAGCTCAGCTTGTACGATCGCGAATTACAACCAGATCATGGTCGGAATGGCGGACAGTGACTAAACGATACAGTTAATCAATTTATAGTACGAGAACCGGAACTATCGAGCTTTATCGTACTCGATTTGATTCGCAACTGTTCGGTATCGTATTTAATTAAAGACGAGTCCAATTATTCTAATCGGGCCACGTTGTATTGTTGTTTTACATAATCGGGCGGCTTTATTTATTGAAAACGCTATTTAAAATTGTTATTCGCTTTGCCAGTATACCCGTAAACAAACCGTGGATATTTACGTCTTTGTAACAAGTGTAATTACACAAAGTATACAAGGATGTAAAGAAATCAACAAATACATAGATATAAGAAATAAAACGCATTCGACGACATTTGGAAGGTATACTTTAATTCAAGTAAAATTAAATAATTTATATATATATATATATATATATATATATATATTATAAAGAAATTGTAGCTTTTTTTTCCATGAAAACACGAAATTACTTTCCAAACAACAAGAATGAACGAATCAAAAGCAGTTGTTTCATTCGTAAGATTGTGACGCGGTAAGCTTCAACAACGGCCAGCTGTAACAATTTCAGTTGCCTAATTGCAAGGCAAAAAGAGAATTCGTTTGGCATTTCGTGGATCTCATCGAGCTCGTTATACAATCCAGACAGGGAACATGCATTCGTGGTCAGCGTAAGTTGACAGATGCATTTCCTGTGCAACTGCACGCATGTCCCACCGCCAAGAAAAGTAGGTCAACAATCAAATCTCTCGTGGGGATGGAAACCAGCTGCCACAAACGCTAGCAACGAAACTAATGCCTGTATTCCCGGTCCGCCCTTAGTCGTCGAGCGATTTTCTATTTGTTCGCCGCGGTGATACGCTATCGCTTCAATTAAATCGCTGTTCCATCGATAAGGCTCGAAAATGATTTCACGCCTCGTCTGTATAATATTCTATAACGAATTCAAGCGAATAATTGATCGTTGTACATTTGCACGTATCATTGAACTATCGCCACTGAATCCCGCGTTACTCGTGTTGTATTTTGTCGCGCGTGAGTGCATTGGAATCGGCGATTTATTATTTAAATTTGGTAAACTTTGTATTACGTCCAAGTCGGATATATTAATTGTTATGGAACAATCGAAACGTAATTTCTATTTAGGATTTGAGTAAAAAGATAATTTGTCAAGAAGAGGGTTTTACACTTGGGTAGAATTATTGAATGTTATTGAAAATTGTAGAAAATTACACGATCGAATATTTTCCTAATTATAATACCATAGTATTTACCTAATTTTTAAGGACGATACTAAAGAGGAGCTTGAAAAGTTTGAGCGACGAACGGACCATTTACGCGGACTTAAATGCGATCAAATATAACGCAAGTGATATCGCATAAATCATTAGAAACGTATTAAACGCGTATTATCGGGAAACGCAATTATCTCCGGAGCTATTATAATCGAGTCCGACTGCTCGTATTAACTACTTTCACTTCGGGCTATTTTCTATTAATCCGTTTCCATTACCAGCGACGAATGCTCTCGACTCCCATCGCGGAACCTTGGAAGTCAAACTCAACGAAGGTATAATAATTAATGATTCGATCGATCAGAGATTCATTTCGCTTCATTTCAGAATATTACGCGTCAAGACTAAAATCACGCTCCTGTATATCGACAGAAACGTCGATTTCTTTTAGATTAGAATTTGATACATTATACGTTCTACACGAAGAAGGTAGCAGTTATAAAATACCGGTAAACAGAGTTACTAAAAATATGAAATATCTTCTGAAACAGTAATAACGCACGAAGAATACGATCTTGCGTACCGACTTCCATTTTCTCGTCGCAACACGGAAACGGTTATTGTCAAAGATAAATTCATTAAAAGACCGGTAGGACTCCCTCGGAAGTTGCGGAGTACGTCTGTACAAGACGCGGCATTACCTGTATATTGTATTACGAGGCGCAGAAGTGGGTCAACAATCAACGATCTCGAAGAGGGAAATACCATCTCCGCAATTTAGTGAGCTCGATGTTCGCATTTCTCACTTACCAGTATACACCAATTCGCCCATCTCGTTCAACTATTTCATTATGCTGACAAATGTTTTGTTAATTCACCGTATAAGTCCAACGTGCACTCGGTTTATTCCGGAATCCGCGTAGCGCACGGCAAAAT